GCTAGTTTCACCTGAGGAAAAGGTAGCCACCCTGTTCTTGCTTGCGATGCCATGGCTCTGCTGGGATTAGAACTAACTTTCCTCTGTAGTTCTCTGATGTCGTCTGTGTAGTGCTGTTTACGGCGTTACTCTTGATTCTGCCTTTGCCACTGTGGACCCCGTGAATAAATGGCTCCCTCAAAATAGCGCATTTTTCGGCCACGTCTTCTACTGCTCTCCCTAGGCCCTAACTGCTGCATCCCCAGGATGTGATACCTTTCAATGCCGACTGTACCCCTGACTGCAGACCGGCGGGGATGATATGAGTGATCCTGTTCGCTGGAAGAACGTCGCATGCCCCGTGTGGCACGACATAAGACTGACCTGTAAATACGAAATGTCACCACATGGTTGGAGGCAAGAAAGGACATTGTTTTGAGAGTAGAAATGGAAGAGGGCAGGGACACACTGCTGCTGACATTGTGAAGCAAAGGTGTCAGAAGACTTTCGTCTCCCTTCCAGGACCGCCCGAAATGTGACAAGGGTCCTGCAGAAGGTGGGGCAGCCACCCTGGGTGCCAGCTTCCTGCCATCCTTAGTGCTGTAGACTGGAGGCAGCACCGTGGTTGTGCCATGCAGGTGTGGAAACAACCTATGGGGACACAGATGTGGCTCCAGCCCAAGGGCCAGCCACGGACTCTCAGTAGCCTAGAGCCTTGAAGTTATCTTGATCCAATGTGAGGGAGAATCAACCCAAGTCAGCACGTCAGCACCAATGTGGTGGCCCAGTTTCAAGGTCCCGTGAGAGAAATACAGCGCTGGCCAGGTGGAGCAATCTGTTTGCCAGGCCATTGCCCTAGAACCTGGGTCCTGTGGGATGACACCACGGATGTGAGTCTTGGCATTCCACAGGGCATCTGGTCAACCCCGCATGCAGGACAGAGGGTAGGAAAGCACCTTGATGGAACCAGATGAGGGCTGGGCCACATAATTCTTCGTCCAGGCTTGGGACGCCCCGGGCTCTGCAGATCCAAGCCAGTCCCAAGCACTGGAGGGGGCTCAGAAAACTTGGAGGAAGGCCCTCCAATGCGTGGGCAACCCAGAGACTCAGAGCATGAGTTAGGGGCCAGACCTAAGAGTGGATTCAGCTGCCTTCTAACCCAGCTCCTGACCCACACATGCACATATCATGCTGTGATTCAGCACTGGGCATTTGCTCATGACATGCCTCTGCTTGACAGCCCTTCCCTCCATCCCAACTTTTGCCAGGACAGCTCTTAATCATGATTTAAGATGCAGGTCAGGCATCACTTTCTTCGAGAAGCCCCCACTTAACTCCTCAGCCCGGGGAAGGCACTTCCTCCTGGGTGCTCATCTCTGTTACTGCACCTGCCACATGCTGTCATAATACTGTGTTTCCGGGTCTGTTTCCCTGAGAAACTTATGGTTTCCTTAAGGTCAGGGATTTTCTTCATTCATCTTTGTATTTGTAGTCACCTGCAGAGTGACAGATACATAATTGGTGTTCAGTAAAATGTCAGCTGGATAAGTTACTAAGGAAAGTGTGAAGGATGTGAGACCCTTTAGAAACATGTATTCAAAAATAGGTATTTTCATGGACTCATCATCATTTTATTTATTTTTTTTAATTTTAAAAAAGTTTTTAATATTTATTTTTGAGAGATAGGGGGATACAGAGCATGAGCAGGGGAGGGGCGGAGAGAGAGGGAGACACAAAATCCGAAGCAGGCTCCAGGCTCTGAGCTGTCAGCACAGAACCTGACGTGGGACTCTAACTCATGAACTGCGAGATCATGACTTGGGACTCATCATCACTTTAAAACACCTAGTTCCAAATGTTTCTTTTACAGTAACCATGACGTAGTTCTCAGCTGTCATTATCCTTACATTGATTCTTTGGGATTGAAAACTTGCCATGTGATGGTCCAACCCGTCTGCTGTTTCATTAAATATGTTGTGTATACGACACAGTTAGGCCAGCGATTGGTGCACTGTGTTCATGCGGTATATTTATTATTGTTGTCAGGAGACTTAACTTCCAGTTTCTGGTTATGATAGGATATATTTCAGGCCCAAACCTCCCAATGAAAACAACCGAAAATGCTAGATAAATTATTATTGACAATCTTTTAAAAGGCACCAGAGATCTGACAAGATAGTAAAGAGCTACCAGGCCAAAGTTGAAGGGAAATGGAAATTCAGAAACTGTTAGAAAACTTGAACTTGTTTTTCTTGGCTTCATGGAGCAGTAGAGAGAAACAAAGCCCAGGGTTGCACGAGGTGGGGATGCTAAAGGAGGTCTTCCCGTAAAGAGCGGAGGCCCCACGGAGATTCAATCTCATGGGAGGACTAACCCTAAAGCAAACCAGCTCTCACAGGGAGTGGCAGCCAGATTTACATTGTCTGGTTGGTTAAAAAAATTCCCAAGCCGTGGCCTTGGTTTAAAATGGTCTCAGGGACACCTGGGAGGCTCAGTCGGTTAGGTGTATGGCTTCAGCTCAGGTCTTACAGTTTGTGAGTTTGAGCCCCACATAGGGCTCTGTGCTGACAGTTCAGAGCCTGGAGCCTTCTTCGGTTTCCGTGTCTCCCTCTCTCTCTGCCCCTTTCCCACTCATGGTCTGTATCTCTCACAAAAATGAATAAACATTAAAAAAAAAATGGTCCCATATTGGGATGCCTGGATGGCTCAGTCAGTTGAGTGTCTGACTCTTGATTTCAGCTCAGTCATGAGCCCAGGGTCATGGAATTGAGCTCTGTGTTGGGCTCTGTGTTCAGTGTGGACCCTGCTTAAGACTCTCTCTCTCTCTCTCTCTCTCTCTCTCTCTCTCTCTCTCTTCTCCCCCTGCTTTCTCTCTCTGAAATAAAATAAAATAAAACCTTATAAAATATAAAATAAATAAAAAATAAAATGCTCCCATACTGTTTATGCCTACTGATATCTAGAAAAAGCAAACACAGATTCTCTCTAGATAAAGCACCTTCATTGCAGTTTTCAAATTTTTCTTACAAGTACATTTCAGGCGCAAGGGACAGCTCACAGTCAAATATAACCAAGCATCTAATGATTCAAGCAACATGTGAGGGAACCATCTGAAAAAACAGACGACAGAAGCAGACCCACAAATACTTTTAAATCCTGAAATTATTGGGCACAGACTGCAAAATAACTATGCTTACTGTGGTCGGCTCCTTATAATACTAGTGGCCTCCTCAGCAGGCTTATTTTCAGCATGGATTGGAGAATTACCCTCAGGAGCTAATCCAATCATCTATTTCTCCACACTCTCAATGATTCTGTCAACTACCGATGTCCTTTTCTGCTTAAACTGGCTGGAGTGGGGTCTGCCTTCTGCAGCTAAGATCCTAACCAGTACAGTGATATTGTCTCTGTGTTTTGCTTATCCACGGTATCTTTTTGTTCATCCGGCTGTGTTTTGGAGTTGTGTTCTTTTCCCCCACAGTGGTCTGTAGATTCTACTCTAATGTGCAGTTTCCAGAATTACAGTTAACAGTCTGATGGCAGCTGGATTCCTTCTCCTTTGTAAGGAACTTGTCCTTTCCCATCGAAAACTTGGAAGTTTTTATTTTTAATTTGGATATGTCATGCTTGGATGATGATCCTTGTTTGAAAAACTCCAATGAACGCCATTAAAGGATCTGAGGTTTCTCGAATCACAAAGGATGTGAAAACATTTCTGCGGAGCTGGATGAATAGGGAAGAAATGGCACAGCATTGTCCCAGATGAACAGGTAGCACCCAGGCCCCTTGAGTCCTCATGGATGGTTCATGGCCAAAGACCTTCAAGAGTGGCAGTCTACAGGTGTGAGAAGCCCCTTTTCGCTTTCTCGGAAAGTGAGGCCATACCTTCTGGCCCCTTCTGACTCTTCTGGATGTCTACCCATGTGCTCTAAGGGCAAAGGACAGGTACAAACTCCACCAGCACATTCTTGAGCATTCAGCATGTGATTCTTTGAACCAAAAATCAGGTGTCTGGGCCTTCTGTAGTTTAAGCCATCTCTTGGAAGGATTCCTGCTCTTTGGAATATATGAATTTTATGAGAATATGCTCGGATGTGCGTCTCTTATCCAATCTTGCCTGATTTGGGGGACACTTACTCTGTAGATTTATCTTGCTTCAGATGAGGTTTTAAAAAATTTTTTTTAACGTTTTTTATTTATTTTTGAGACAGAGAGAGACAGAGCATGAACAGGGGAGGGGCAGAGAGAGAGGGAGACACAGAATCAGAAACAGGCTCCAGGCTCTGAGCCGTCAGCCCAGAGCCCGACACGGGGCTCGAACTCATGGACCGCGAGATCATGACCTGAGCTGAAGTTGGACGCTTAACCGACTGAGCCACCCAGGTGCCCCAGATGAGGTTTTTAAAAATTGTTTCATTATCACTCCTCTTTATCTCCTACATGTTTTGTGTTCCAGGATTGATTCCTGTTTTCCATGTTATGTTTCCTAAATTTCTCCCCCATGTGCCTTATGTTTTCCAGAATGATCTCCAAGTCTGTTTTGGCTCAGTTTTGACAGAACCCAGTCCTCCCCTCTATCAAGCAGACTGCAACCCAGGCCAGAGTGAAGTCTGTTTCTCAGCCTGTTGAATTTTTAAATTCAAAAATTCTTTCATTTTCATTCCCAATAATCCTTCTTATGTCTAGCTGAATCCGCAGAAGTGCTTTTTTTTTTTTTTTTTTTTTTTTGCTACGTTAAGTTATTATTTGATTCTTCCCAGGGTTCATTTTCAACGGCAGTTGCCTGCTTTTAGTGGGCCCAGTGGTCATGCACTTGCTTCTCACTTCATACCCCTCTATCTTTGAGTTTGCTGGAGTTTCATCATTCCTTTTCTCCAGCTCACTTCTTTTTTTTTTTTTTAGTGTATTTGTTTATTTATTTGTTTATTTAGAGAACTCACAAGCACACAAGTGGGAGAGACAGAGAGAGAGGGCGAGAGAGAATCCCAAGCAGACTCTGCACTGTCAGCACAGAGCCCAGATCAGGGCTCAAACCCACGAACCATGAGATCATGATCTGGGCTGAAATCAAGAGTCCAATGCTCAACTGACTGAGCCACCCAGATGCCCCTCCAGCTCACTTCTGGAATCTATTTCCAAATACACGTTAGTATCCCTCCCTTAATTCTCAGCAAGGTAAACTTTGTGTCTTTTTTTTTTTTTTTTTTACGTTTATTTTTGAGACAGAGAGAGACAAAGCATGAACGGGGGAGGGTCAGAGAGAGGGAGACACAGAATCTGAAACAGGCTCCAGACTCTGAGCTGTCAGCACAGAGCCCGACGCGGGGTTCGAACTCATGGACTGTGAGATCATGACCTGAGCTGAAGTCGGACGCTTAACCGACTGAGCCACCCAGGTGCCCCCTTTGTGTCTTTTTTAAGCAGGTGAGGGAAGGAAGTGAAACCCTAGAAGCTCAGTAACATAAAAGCACCACCCACCTTCATGAGCTTCTGAAACCACCAACAATCAATCAAAGCACACAATAAGTCTGTCTCGTGGCACGAGTCTTTAGAAGACTGGCTATTTCATCTTCAATCTTTTTTTATGTCCTAATTAATAATGACTGAATTATCTGGGACACTTACACACCGTTCCTAGCCTATTAGAGCACATATCTTCCCAAGATGGCCATTTATGCTGTTAACGTTTCACAGTTTATAATGCAATGTCAGTGTGAGCCTTTAGAGTCCCACAGGAAGGCAGTTATCTGATGTGGCTTCAAGGGAGGGGAGTAGCTTTTGAATTTCTCCAGGGCTGTGGAGGCACCATGCACGGGGGAATCTATTCCATGGAGCCATTTCCTGAAATATGGTAGAAACGAACTGGGTACAATTTTTATGGATCAAGGTAACTGGGGTCACATTGCCAATAGAGCAAGTTCCATTCAACCCAGGTTGAAGGAATAATTTCCAAGTCTATTTCCACTGATAAAATATAAGCCTTTCAGTGCCATAAGAGCAATTTTGTTCAGTTCACAGGAAATTACATTGGCATAAGACCCAATACCATCCTTGGGACAATTTACCCATGATGATTTTTAACATGTCAAAGTGGAAAATTGGACTCACAACCTTTGGAACGTCTCCAAGGTGAGCTATACGTATTGAAAGCAGCTCTGGTATGAGGTAACTGTATTACGACATTTACTGCCAGACCCTTCCAGCCAGCTCCTGAACTTGCTGGTCACGTGGACTGGCTTACACTGTGAATTTCACTTTATGGTACCATAAGGTTAATAGAGTTAAGGCTAGTGGAGGCTGTTGGCGTACTCAGTAAGAATCTGCCTTTCTGAAAGGAAAAGAGTAAAAGGGCCCATTCCTCGTGCGTCTGTGGTAACCTTGAATCTCTAATGGGCTCCCTGCAGGCAATCATTTACAGCGTTGTGACCTAACTGACCCAGAAGGCCAGGGTTCTCCCCAAGGACTCCTGGACCCAGGTCAGACACACTGAAACAGTTAAGTCTTTTCCCAATTGTGGTCTCAATCTTGCTACACGGCTGTCACACAGGGGTGGCAATGTGATGGGTGAAAGACACGTGGTAAGAAGAGGTTACAAGGGCAATTTAATGGTGGTTGGTAAAAAACTCTTTGGGGATCATAACATAAGGCAGAAGACCACACAGACGTAAATGCGGTTTCCCAGAACCTCAAGCAGTGCCCGACCGGTAGTACCATTGCCTGGCATGAGGACCCCACCAGGGAAAGTGACTTGCTTTGCCGTTCTCGTGGGGAAGGTGTGGCTTAAATTCCCATCCCCTGCACCACTGCACCTGACTTTGGATACTGCCTACATGCCTATGTCCTCGTCACACGTAAGCAAGTGGCACCTTTCCCCCCTCCCCCAGCACACACAGAACGTTGACTAGGACTCTGGGTTGACTGAAAGTCAATTCCAAGCTCATCATACGGTTAAGCAGACCCAGGAGTCAGACCTGCCTCAGGTCCATTCCCGCACTTCAGTTGAAAGTGTATTTTCCTCTGAAACCCCTTGCTGGGCAGCAGATCAATTGTCAGCTCAGATCATTCTGAACTGAGGGGTGGGGACCTACATGTCTCTGCTTTGTCCCCTCAGCATACAGTCAGGAAGCTTGAGTGTGTGAGCCTCTTGTTTTTGTCCTCAGGATACCCTCCCATCTCCTTTCCCTGAGGAAGGCCACTGCCCAAACTCCTGCGGTAACAGCACAGAAGGGGAGCCATCAAGACGTCAGACAGGTGTATGCCAACTAGTAGATAGATCCGAGCAAGACGATGACATCTGAAGATAACAAGTCCTTAAGGTGGAGAAGATATCACCAGCATCATCTTTCTGTCTTCAGAGCTGCAATCACAAATTCTGATTCCAGGCATCTAAGGCTGCCCTGGGCTGTATGGACTGATGCTGGCCACGAGGCTAGCTGAGAAACTAGAGGTGTAGAAATGAAATTTTCTCTTACGGAGGAAGGAAGATCCTGTTACCACCTCAGAGCACGGGGTACAGTAATTGACCCAGCATGGACATTCCCACTGTAATCAGGGGGCTGTTGTCACAAGAAGCTAAGAGGTATTCTAGGCAAAGAATAGCTACCATGGTTGGACGAGATGCAAATCCTGTTTTTCTCCCATACAAAGATGGCTGGAGCCATGTCCAAGAACACCATTAATCCACTGGGCTTACCACCTACCGTAGGGTATGCTCATTGTCTGAGCAATCATGAGCCAAGTCTCCACAGTTATAAATATCTGTATGGAGAAGACGTGTCATGTCAGGAGATATTCACTGAAGAACTGACCCCTTGAGGAATCAGTCCCCATTCAAATGTCTTTCCCACTTAATATTGATATCTGTCCCGGATAACTCTAGTTACATCTCCACCAATCTCTCACAAATTGTATCTGGAAATGTAATGCGAACCCATGCAAATTGTTTGTGCAGGAATATTGTAACATTTTCAAAAGATGTGGGATTTTCACGAAGCTGGTGAAGTGAGGTCGGTGAATGGCTGGTCCCAGTGAAGACCAGTGAACAACTAAGTAGAACACAAGAACACTGCTTGAGGAGAAGGATGTGAATAACAGAGGGTTAAGAGAAACCCTTGGGAAAATTCACCCGAAGCTCTGGAATGTTTTTGCAGACGTGCCTCTCTTAAAGATCACTTTTTGAAAGTCAAATGGGAAGTGAAGGATGTGGTTGGTTGTTTGGGGAAATACTGCCAATGAAAACAATCAATATTTAGTTCCTCTTGTGTTCACTCTACGAGGTAGCTTGTCCTAGCAACGGTAGATAGAAGATATGTTTCCATTTTTTGAGAGAAAGTCCCAGTCAACCTTTTCTTCACTGTCTTCTGTAAAAATTGAGTCCCTATTTTATTCTATTGTGACTTTTCCCGGTATCCATTACCTTGAGATTATGAGATTATGAGATAATGAGATTATGGTGATATGTATTTGTTGCGATGCATATAATGCATGATGCACATAATAGATAATCAGAAACTTGTACTCACAAGCACTGAAATATAATGCTTCCCCTCAATTACTCTTAATCAACTTCATACTCTTGGAATCAGGACATGCAAATCCTGAGGGAATTCAGATGAACACTAGTCAATAGATTCTCGGTTTTGTTTTCTAGTTTTCCAAGGCTGTAAGTGAACATGTGTGCTGGTCACTAGGTGAAGGGAAGCAAACCCTTTACCACCTGCAGCACCGCATCATGTCAGTTTTTATTTTTGGCTTTGCCACTAATTCGCTGTGTGACCTTCTACAAGTTCCTCTCCTTCTCCGGGCCTGAATTTCCTCATCCGTAAAGTGAGGAAGCTGAAATAGATCAATGGTCTCAACCTTGGTCAGACATCAAAGTTACCTGGGGAGATTTTTAATATGTTTTCTTTTAAAAGCTCAGAGTACCCCTCCTTCTCCATGGCCCTAGATCAAGCGAATCGCAGGACTCCGGCATGTGTCGATGTTCAAGCTTCCAGGTGATTGTAGCCTAGTTTCGTGTTCATTCCCCTTTAATCATTATTCAATATTCTTGGAGTTTAGTTTTAGTCCTAGGGGTGAGTATCGGTGCAAAGGAAGCGTTTACGTAAACCAGTCTCATTCCGGTTGACGGAGGCTTTGTCATAAATAGCTCCCTGATGAATAGTGAAGTTTTGGGGGAAAACATACCACCACTGTTTTTGCCACATTTTTTTGTGAACACAGAATTCTCACTTCACACAAATCCACGTTCCAGTGAAACACGATGCTGTCACCTCACCGTAGAAATGTCCTACAGCTGCTGTGACTACAGAGAGGTGACAGACAGAGAAAGCAGCGGATGTGGTCACGCTGTGGATGGAAATAGTCTTCGGACTTTTCTTGGCCACGGCTGGCCAGGGGCTCCTCTGCCGTGTGACTCCTCTGTGTGGTTGTAAAGTGCCTGGAAGGCTTCTGGGTAGGACGAGGGCTGGGCAAGGTCAAGTCCGAGACCAGGGATGCTGGGCGGGTGCGACTTCACACATGTTTTCTGTTTCCCTGAAGATCGTGTATAATAATTAGGCCGAGAAAAGAATTAGGCTGAAACCAACATGGCTGAAATCCTATTGTTGGAGCCCCATCCATCTTTCCTCTCGTAAAGTGAGACTATTTTGAAATTATTTGCTGAAGAATTAGGAGCAGATGAAGTGCTAAAGGTTTCATGGCAGCTTCTTGTTGTGATGGCAGGTGGACGTGGTGACAGTTCAGCCTGAGTCAGCCTCCTCTGAGCCTCTCTGATGACACCTTGTCCTTGGGCCTTGTCTTCAACCTGCTCAACCCAGTTTTAGCAACAATGGCCCCACTCTGGATGTCTGACAGCCTTTGGTCAGGTTCCTTATCCCTTCCTTCCTTTTTTTTAGTTTATTTATTTGAGTGGGGGGAGGGGCAGAAAGACAGAGAATCTCAAGCAGGTTCTGTGCTGTCAGCACAGAGTCCGACATGGGGCTCTATCCCACGAACCATCAGATTATGACCTGAGCCAAAATCAAGAGTCAGAAGCTTAGCTGACCTAGCCACCCAGGCGCCCCCCTCATCGGCACCCTACTCTTAATATCTGATCATGTCAGCCCGCCTTCCCTGATGACCCTGTTGGGTCGGGTGAGCAAGAACCCCTCAAATCTTGATCTCTCCTCTCAGTAATTTTCTACCCACGGACCCCTCAGTCTGCACTCTGGCCATCATCCCCCCTCGTCCTCGCTATGTTCAGAGTTGAGCCCCATCCCTCACCCTGTTGTGACAGAGTTGACCTCCCTGGCCGTAGTCCTGAAGGAAGTCTACCTCGCTGTTTTAACAAGCGTCAGAATGTTTCTCTGATGCTGCAAAGTGACGGCGCAGCATTGTTCAAGCCAGATCTGTGAGACATTAGCACTTTCAGAAGTTTATGAGTGTGGCAGAGCTGGGGGAAAGGGTCCTGCACTCCCGTCGGCTTAGGAAACACATAGTAAACCAACAGTGTTCTTTCCTGCAGGACTTTTTTAGGTCCTTCAAGATGCTAATGGGCCTTAGGGCATTCCGAAGTGGGATACACAGTCTGGAGATGCCCAGATTTAGTTGCCCGCCCTTTTGCCTGGAGTTGCCCTTTAGATGCCCTTTTGCCTGGAGGTGCTGGTATCTTTGAGTTCTCGTGTTGCATGAAGCACACGTTGTCAAAGCTGGCAAAGGGGCTACTCAGGTAGGGGAGGAACCTACGGTTTAGCGAAGTTACACGGTGGGCACCAGGCAGGGCAGGGGGTGAAGGCCTGTCTGGAATTAGAATCCAGAAGTCCTAGGGGCGCCTGGGTGGCTTGGACGGTTAAGCATCCGATTGCGGCTCGGGTTATGATCTTGTGGTTCGTGAGTTCGAGCCCCGTGTGGGGCTCTGTGCTGACAGCTGGGAGCCTGGAGCCTTCGGATTCTGTGTCTCCCTCTCTCTCTCTCTCCCCCTCCTCCACTCATGCTCTGTCTCTCTCTCTCTCTCTCTCCCTCAAAAATAAACATTAAAAAAACTTTTTTTTAAATTACAGAAGTCCGAATTTGCAGTCCATAGTCCTTACTCTAAACCCTACTGCTTATAAGTCAGCAAATGCTGATGGATCTTCGGCTCTAACACCTGCCTCATGCTCAGAATCGTCACATTTCCCCCAACCTGCCATAACAACGCACCACAGGCTGAATGGTTTAAACAACAGAAATGCATTCTCTCTCTCGAAGCTTCGGAGGCTGGAACTCCTAAACAACATGTCTGGAGGACTGGCTCCTCCAGAGGCCTGTCCCCTTTGCTTGTGGACAGCCGCCTTCCCGTACATGCTTTTGTGTGTGTGTGTGTGTGTGTGTGTGTGTGCATGCGTGCGTGTCCTAACCTCTTCCTGTAAGACACCGGTCATATTGCACTAGGGCCACCCTAATGACCTCATTGTAACATAATTGGCTGTTTAAAGACCCTATGTTCATGGAAGGTCACGTTATGAGGTGCTGAAGTTAAGACTGCAGCACATGAATTTTAGGAGGACATAATTCAGCCCATAACACTTGCATAGCTTAGAGATTTATTTGCAATTTACTGTAGGATGGAGATCTATTGATTCACCCTGTAATTTGGGGTTTATTTAATTAAGTTTTTTTAAATTCCAGCATAGTTAACATACAGTGTCACACAATTTGTTTTTGCTGCGGTAGACCCATCTGGAAAATATTATAGCAAAAATATGTCTCCCGTCCTCTGGAAGCCTGAGCTCTCTTTTCCCTCGGAGGGAGAACCACTTGTTTGTTTTTGATGTTTGAAAAGAATAGAAGATTCCAGGCCTGAGTAGGATACCCTGGAGACCATTCAACCCAGGCTTTTGTATTTGGAAGGTCTATGCCCTACAGGGAATTAGCTGTACCGTTCAAGAAAGAGAAAAATCCCCTGAGTTTGAGATGTGAGGATTTAAGAAGGGAGGGGTCTCCACAGACAAGGTGAGGTTCTCTGAGACTGGGAAGGGCAGGTAAGAAGCAGGAACGTGTTACACGGGCACTTGGGTGGGTGGGACAGTGGCCCATGTGCCCGTAAGAACTCAACACTAACGGCTTGGACTGTGCATGGCTGAGGTGGTTAATTGTTCCTCAACTCCCATCCTCCTCTTCTCTCATTTAGGGATGGAACCTCTCAGAATGTTATCAGGGCACAGAGCCACCCAAGTGGATACCGCAGTTCCAGCCTCCTTACTGCTAGATGGGAGGCCGTGTGACCCTGGGGTTTCCTTTTCCTCCTTGGCGTGGGTGGGAACCTGGAAATGGTTGGAGGTGAGTCAGCTTTGACTGCACAATGCACATGGCGCCCTGGCCGGAAGTACCGAAAGCAGAGGAATGGAGTGTGGGTCACGGAATAACCCCACCGTGCACAGCCGCCTTAGAATCTCTGATTGCTCACCTCTGAGCTGTTACTTGAAGAAGAAATAAATTTAACTTTAAAACCACAGTGTGTTAGAAACTTTTTGTTGTAGCAGCTTAACTGATACTCCTATCTTAGACCTAGCAAGTGGGAACTTGAGTCAGACTTTATCCCATGGAGAAATTCAAACCAATAATATATGTTGACAAAGCATCCTGAAACTGCTTCCTCCTTAAAAAAAAAAAAAATCACTTATAAATGGTTTTGTTTTTATGCCTATGAAAACCTTTAAGTAGATTATATTTCAATGAGAGATGGGAGCTTTTTTGGACTAGAATGTGAAACCTTTTTGGCAGAGGGAGTAGAACACTTCATACTGATATAAAGAACACATTATGCTTTTTCAAAGAAAAATATAATGCTTCATAGAAAACTCGCAAATTAAAAAATGATGAAGAGGAAAAGTAAAATCAACTCAGAAGAATCTACCGTCCGTATTTTGCATTATGTTCTTCCAGCTTCATTTTGGAAGTTGGGATTAACTGTGTAGGCAGAATTACATCCTGCTCTTTTTCTTGTAACATCATAGCGCGAATATACAAATTCCAAGATCACGAGAACTTCTTGAAACCTGGGATCTTTACTGGTTGCAGGGTGTCATGTCATAGTTCGTATTTTATCTGATCATTTGCTTTGTAAACATTTTTTTTATATTTATTTTTTTTTATTTTTGAGAGAGAGAGAGAGAGAGAGAGAGAGAGCATGAGTGGGGGAAGAGCAGAGAGAGAGAGAGAGAGAGAAACAGACAGACAGACAGAATCGGAAGCAGACTCCAGGCTCTGACTGTCAGCGCAGAGCCCGACGCG